TTTTTTGTTCGGGTTTTCTTTGGCCCATTTTTTTTGGGCACTGGGACATTTTTTTTGGGGTTCGGATTTTTTTTTTTTTGTTTTTTTTTTTTTGGGGGTTGCCTTTTGGTTCCCCCCGCCTTCCCCTCTCTTGGATGGGGGTGGGGGGTTTGTTTCGTGTAAAATGTTTTGGGTTTTCTTCAGTTGGGGGGTTTTTATTTTTTTAACCTTTTCCCCCCCCCCCGGGAGAAAAAATTTTTTTAGCCCCCCCTTTTTTTCTTTTTTTGGTTCCGTTGTGGTGGCCCAACTTTTCCCCTGGTTTCCCATTTGGCCTTGGTATATTCTTTTGGGTTTTTAAAAGGGTTAACCCCAAGGGCGGGGAGGCTTTTTGGCCCCTCCCTCCCCTTTTTCCTTTTCCCCCCCCCCCCCCCCCGTCCGCCGCACGGGACCCGTTCGTGTTTTTTTTTGTCGCGTGCCGTCGCCAGGCTTCCTACATGTTTACGATGTGGGCGTTAGTCCAGAGCGGGCAGTGGGGGCGTGCTCGGTTTCTGGTGGAGGTGATGACGGCGGACGGGATCCCGCCCAAGGTTGGCTGCTACTCGCACTTGTTGACGCTTATGCACACCAGGTGTGTGTGGGGGGGGGGAGGGTCGGCAGCTGGGACAAGAACAGAGTATAATCGTTCCTTCCGCACACATGATGGTTGGTGATTTCATCGCTTTGATGCACGAGAGGAAGGGAACAGAAGGGATGTTGGAGCGGATTGTTTTGCACGAGAGAAGGCAAAACCTGTGGTATTCTCCGTGCTCCACGTAGTAAAGGTATTGCTGGGGACACAAGTGGTGGACAATTTCCTGGGTACTGTTAACGTCACAAGTTCCCAGCCGAAACTCTGACCTCGATTCCCGAGGTCTGGGCGTATTTACATCCGTCTGTCATCGTTTTCGTTCCTAATCCGGAAAATAGCCTACCCCCGCATGACCCATCATGAGGGTTTCCGATTTTAGCCGAGCTGAGACAGGCGTCGTTTCATTGGTTCACCGGTTTACGTGGTCGATGCTGATGAATATTGGCGCACACGCACCTTGAACTACGCTCACACAAGCGGCTCGGAGTGCTTCCAATCTCTAGTCTTCAACAGATCCCCCACCCCCTGTGTCCCAGTTCCAGTCCCTGGCTTTCTGTTGGCATCGCCGTGCCCTGGACGGAAGCGGCTTCTCAAGCTTGAAGTAGCGTAACCGTTTTTTTATCTCGGCTCCTCGCCGGCATGCCCCCCTTGATAAACAACGCCTACGTGCACACAGGCTCGCGTCGAGGCTGCCCGACCCCGATAAAGACGTGCATGTGGAAGAGAGCCTGTCCATGTCGTCTCTGTCTCCGGTGGACCAAGCCGCGTTCCTGTGGTCGGAGCCCACGTACGAGTGGGACGAGGTTGTGTCTCTCCTCGGAGATGCAAGGTCGACCGAGAGGGCTAAGTACGCCATCACGGAGGGCATGTACCACACCGCCCTCGACGTGCTTCAGATGGTGAGTAGTGCCCGTGTGTGTCTGTCGTCTTCTGGCCGCTGGTATATATGCATTCCTTTTGGTGTGTGTGTGTGTGTGTGTTTGACGTATCAGCCGGGGTTACTGGGGAGGAAGCAACAAAGCTTGTTACTCAACACAAAGAAAAATGTTCTCCAGATGCTGTTTTTTCTTCTGTCGGCCGCCCCTGGTTTTCGACCGACGCATATCGATTGCGATAGGTTCGGCAGCGCCTCCCGCACACCAATTTTTACCAGCCCTACGTACGCAGTCAAAGGCCCTTCGTATCCTTTACGTCGATGTTGTCTTTTAGGTTTCGTTTTTTTTCATTTTTCAACGGTCATCAAGCAAACCCCAAAACATACTTGCATGAAAGGAGGGGGGTTTTGTGGAGAAGTCCTTGTCCTTTTTTGTCACACACACCTTGTTGTGTGTCCAGTCTACCACAAAAGGCTTCCGCGAAGGGGCTCTGACCACTCCCAAACCCATGTTCCGTTTTGTGCTGAACGAACACCCTCAGGCTGCCTCCGAACCTGCTGCAGTATTGCCAACTCTTATTATTTTCATGTGTGCTGAGTGTATCCCCTCAGATTTCCGAGAGGCCTGTGGATGTCTCCCTTGGGGTGGTGGGTGGAGCAGCTACGGTGCCCCCCCCTCCCCCGGCGAAGGTCTTCCTGGACCGAGCGGAGTGCCTGCTAGAATGGGCTCTGGACGCGGTAAGAGAGATTCACACAAAAGACGTTCTTTTTTCGCCTATAGCAGACTGTTGTCTCGATCGTGTTGCCTTTCGTTATAGCGAAATTCGTACGATATTCTTGAGAATGGTGTGAGAGCGAAGAGAGGCACACAGTGCTTGGTTCCGGTGACCGCACTGGTTGGATGTGTAGCTTGTGCTCCAAAAACCCAACAATTAATTAATTATATTGAATCGAATCAGAACAGTTTTTTTCCGCTGCACGTAATCGACCGCTGTCTGCACCGCGTTGGATCTGCGTGAGATGAACATATGTTCGTTGTATATGGCCGCATATATTTGTTCACCTTTTTGGGGGTAATTTAGCCTGTGGCCACGGGAATCGACCGCGTCAAGTGTTTGACTAGTACTGACAGAAGGTACCGGGTATAGAGAACGGAACGGTTTTTTAATGTGAAGACAACAGCAACAACAACAACAACATATGGCCGCATACTAGCGCGCCACGTGGGAATAAGAGTTATTGAGCAAAATTTGTGTCGTTCACTCTACAAACAAGAAGGCCGTTTTCGGACCAAGCACACAATCATGGAGAGAATCGAACGCGACTCATTCGGCTATGGATCATCGAGGGCTGCTACGGACTTGATGGCCACACCAACATGTTCCCTGTAAACATGACGGGTTTGAATTTTCTTCCACAGACGTGCCCGTGTTTGCGTGCCGGACTGCTGTTGCAACAAACAAACACGATTCAAACGTGAGAGAGGAGGGCCAAGCATGCAGCCACAAACGGGCAGTTGCGATGTGGTCGTTACTCATGTGGTCGTTGCTCTTCGTCAAATCAAATGCACGATGGGTTGAGCTGATGTTCCCACTCGCAGTGAAACTACGATTGAAACCAGATTCAGAACCATGCCACTGGTGGGCTGCGTTGGGCGTCGATTGCGAACAGTATAGCGACCACGCGTAGCAGTCACGTTGGCAGGTTGAAAGGAACACTATACCCTTGTCGGCTTTGAAGGTGTCGCCACCCATGCTTGAACTTGGTACTAGGGACCAGGTGACACCTCCCTCCTTTCACCTTTAACGCCCTCACGTGTTTGGCGCCCCCGCCTCCACCCATGCATGCATGTCAACAGGGCACCGAGATGACCGTCGAGATCCTATTTCCTCTCCTGAAGCTCAGCCACACCGCCAGGGATGCCGAGAAGGTGTTCAAGTATTTCGAAGCTCTGCTGGAGACCGACACCCCGAGACAGGGCTGGGCCTACGCCACGGTAAGGACTGCGCATGACGTTTTGTTTTCTGGAAAGGGGGGATGGGTTGTGCCTAGTCTGAAAGGAAGCATTTGTGATGCACATTTGTTGAAACGAACGCCCACAGCAAGACGTGGCCAAAGGAGTGCGGGTTCGATCCCGGATTTATGGAGGAGTACTGTTCACCCCCTGCGCTTTCTTGACTGCATCCTGAATCCGATCTGTTGGCCTTGCATGCGCCCCCCCCCCCCCCCTTCCCCCCCTCCCCTTACCTTTCTTTTTCCCCCCCCCCCCCCTCTTTTTTTCCCTCCCCCCCCTACC